ACCATTCTTATTTCTATGCCGACGACGACTGCGACTGCGACTACGACCGATACCACTACCATTGCTACAACTACTACTACTACTACTACTACTACTACTACTTCCGCTACTACCACTACTACGGCTGCTAGTACTACTACTACATCGAGTAGCACCACGACTACTACTACTACTACTACTACTACTACTACTGCTACTACTACTACGGCTAGCTTTATTCTTTCTATTACTACTACTACGACTACGCCTCCTACTACTACTCCTACGACTACGACTCTGCCTGCGATTATTGTTTGTGCTGCTATGTCTACTACGACGGTGACTAGTACTATTCGAAGTCTTATTACCGGGAGTGCGGCTACTAGTACGATTACCGCTAGTCCTGCTACTGCTACGATTGGTATTACGATTGTTGGTACCACTACTATTATGACGACGACTACGACTACTACTACTACTACTACTACTAACACGAGTACAACCATGGCCACTACCATTGCTACTACTACTACTACTACTACTACTACTACTACTACTACTACTACTACTACTTCTACTACCACTACTACCACTACCACTACCACTACCACTACTACGACTACTACTATTATTACTACTACTACTACTACGACTACGACTACTACTACTACTACTACTACTACTACTACTACTACTACTACTACTACTACTACTACGAGTGTTACTACTACGAGTGTTACTATGACGACTCGCGCTCCTTTTTTAAAAAATACCCTGGCGACGTACCCAACCCCCTGCGCAAAAGCGGGGCGCAAATAGTTTAGGATACTTTATAAGGGGGCGATGACGGAGCGAGGGTTGCATATGTCTGCAGACGGAATTCGGGAGACTCGCAGGACACTGGCTACAGGAAAAAGGCTTGATAAAGCTGATGATTTACAATTCCTGAGCACTCCTAGCCACTTCGAAAACGGGGATCACAGCAGGCCTCGAAAGTGGCGACAGGTTCACAGATCGCAGCCCCGCAGGGATGGCGAGGTCTCATTTGAATCTGCCCGTGGCCCTCACTGTGCTGGGCCCCCCAGCAGGCCTCGAAAATGGCGGCAGTTTCGCAGATCGCAGCCCCCCAGGGATGGCGAGGTCTAATTTGAATCCGCGCGTGGCCCTCACTGTGCTGGGCCCCCCAGCAGGCCTCGAAAATGGCGACAGTTTCGCAGATCGCAGCCCCCCAGGGATGGCGAGGTCTAATTTGAATCCGCGCGTGGCCCTCACTGTGCTGGGCCCCCCAGCAGGCCTCGAAAATGGCGACAGTTTCGCAGATCGCAGCCCCCCAGGGATGGCGAGGTCTAATTTGAATCCGCGCGTGGCCCTCACTGTGCTGGGCCCCCCAGCAGGCCTCGAAAATGGCGACAGTTTCGCAGATCGCAGCCCCCCAGGGATGGCGAGGTCTAATTTGAATCCGCGCGTGGCCCTCACTGTGCTGGGCCCCCCAGCAGGCCTCGAAAATGGCGACAGTTTCGCAGATCGCAGCCCCCCAGGGATGGCGAGGTCTAATTTGAATCTGCCCGTGGCCCTCACTGTGCTGGGCCCCCCAGCAGGCCTCGAAAATGGCGCAGTTTCGCAGATGCAGCCCCCCAGGGATGGCGAGGTCTAATTTGAATCCGCCCGTGCTGTCGCGACCTCGCTGGCGAGGTCTAATTTGAATCCGCCGTGGCCCTCACTGCCCCCCAGCAGGCCTCGAAAATGGCGACAGTTTCGCAGATCGCAGCCCCCCAGGGACGGCGAGGTCTAATTTGAATCCGCGCGTGGCCCTCACTGTGCTGGGCCCCCCAGCAGGCCTCGAAAATGGCGACAGTTTCGCAGATCGCAGCCCCCCAGGGATGGCGAGGTCTAATTTGAATCCGCGCGTGGCCCTCACTGTGCTGGGCCCCCCAGCAGGCCTCGAAAATGGCGACAGTTTCGCAGATCGCAGCCCCCCAGGGATGGCGAGGTCTAATTTGAATCCGCCCGTGGCCCTCACTGTGCTGGCCCCCCAGCAGGGCTCGAAAATGGCGACAGTTTCACAGATCGCAGCCCCCCAGGGATGGCGAGGTCTAATTTGGATCCGCCCGTGGCCCTCACTGCGCTGGGCCCCCCAGCAGGCCTCAAAAATTGCGACAGTTTCACATATCGCAACCCCCCGCGGGCAAGACAGGAAGAGGCGGGAGGGGAAAAGGAGGAAGGGCGGGAGAAGGGACGCGACCACACTGCTCTATTCAAAACGAATACCCAACCAAGGAGGGTTGGGAAAAAAATGACGATTGTTATTTCTACGGCTACGAGTACGAATGCTACTGCTACGACGACTACTACTACGATAGGTAATGCTGCTAGTGCCACGGCGACTGCAATTAGATCTGCTATAACAACAACAACTACTACGACTACCTCTTTTTTTTGTTTACTAGTAGTCGTAGTAGTACCACGTGTAAGGCTACTATTGGCACTACTACTAGTACTACTACTACTACTACTACCACTA